ATAGCCAGACTGACCTCTTGGATCTGCTCATTTCCAGACCAACTGCTTTGTTATTCCATCCATTCAAACAGCAACATGAAATACCACACTAGATGCCTATGACTTTGCAGAAAAACACTTTCACAGAACTGCAAACATTTGCTGCTAACTCTCAGAAGTTGTATCAGCAACGTTCTGTACGCATCCTGTATATGTCCAGTGGGACTCTCTTTGTTCAGCCTTGTAGTCTTAAATATCAACTACAACAAATTACATGGAAAACAAACAAACAGAAAACAAAGTAGTGGCTGTTCAGCATTTCTGAAAATTGAGGAAGCCCATGTTTGGACCAAACTGGAGTAGTGGGATGGTGGGGTGTGCGGGTGGTGGGGTCTGTGTGCATTATTTTTCTTATTCGTAGGGAATTAGAAGTTGAAAAGTAACACATACAAGAGCATGAGGTACTATGAAAGTATATGTGAGAATAGTAAATTGAGAAGAATGATAGAACACTGGAAATTTAGTATATTTTTTAGTACTTCTGAAACTATGATAGGGTGCATGTTTATAAATATTCAAACATTAAGTAGGCAAGAAAAAAAAAAGGATAATAGAGTCACTGTCCTCATGTCTTAGTTCATAACCAAGAGAAATTTAAGTCACTCTTGCATTTACAGGGACAGCCTGAAGACTGCAGGAAATGGGAATTTACACCCAATGCCCTTCAAAGCGCTAGCCATTAGGCCTTGGTTTTCTTCCAAGCAGACAGTTCTGAATATTCAAAAAGCTGGAAGCTCTCACCCAACCTGTTCAGTATTTGCTCTGACAAAACAGTGCCAAGCAGCTACCTTTTTGTAGCAATACAGAGAAGCACTACAATGGGTTGGATTCATGTGCCAGCCTTTCACCTTATGAGTGGAGGCCGAGTTGTGACAAAAATGATCAGATCTTCGTTGAGTTAGTATGACAAAGGACGAAGAACAGCAGCATTCCCACATCCAGCTGACATAATGTTTCAGTCTATTATTACAGGCACTTCTGCATAGCTTATGCTTTAATTTGCAGGCTAGGAACATTCCTCTTTGACTGTCTCCTGGATTGCTGTATAACTGTAATAATACCTGTCATCTGTTTTCTTTATTATTTTTTTTCACATTAGCAGTGAAAGGCACTTGTTACACAAAATTAGAGGGTTAAAAATATTCAGCCAAAGTAAAGCAATCTTTAACATTTATTTTTCTATTTAAGTTACAAATAAAAACGCTAGTTGTAAACTGTTTTCACTTTCTTCTACTTACAGTTTCTTCAGGGCTATAAGGTGAAATGTTTATTTTCCCCCAATTCTGTTGCTTTTTAGTATCATCACTGAATCTAAAATCAAGGAACCAAGGCCAAATTCTCAGATGAGGTAAGAAGACAGAAATACTTGAAGGTGTGAGGTAAGATCAGGGTTCCATTTTGTCAAGTTACGTAGTTCTCATGAAAAGATATTAAAATACATGATGTACAAGAATTACAGAGGACAGCTGGTGAAATCTGCACAAGAGCAAAGCGTAGCTCTCACTGAATGTATCTACAAAGCCCCTAGTTCAGATGCCCAGCAGTACTCTCAGGGGCCATCTCTGTTTGCAAGCAGAGCTACAAGTGCAGAGTCTACTTTCTGTTGCAGACATCTTTGGCATTATACATTGCCTCTCTAGCTAAACTTCAGATGCAGCAAAGAGAGCACTTTTTACTCAACAGGATCTAGAATGGTGATGTATTTGATGCATATGCAGTGATACTGCAGACTGTGATCAGTACTTTCCGTGCACATCAAAGTATTTTTAAAAGTACTTAGAACAGCTAATATGGAATCACAGGATTATCCATGTTGGAAAAGACCTTGACCACTTTCTCAATGAAGAAATTCCTCACAGTATCCAGTACACTTTCCACTGTCACAACTTGAGACCATTTCACCATGTCATCTGAGAAAAGAGACTGACATCTTCCACACTGCAACCTCCTTTCAGGTAGTTGTAGAGCACAGTGAGGTCTCCCTTCAGCCTCCTCTTCTCCAGTCTAAACAACCCAGTGCCCACAGCTGCTCCTCATAGCTCTTTTTCTAATCCCTTCATCAGCTTCAGTTCTTTCTGCTGTGTATATGCTACAGCATCTCGGTAGCCTTCCATGTCTGGTTATGTATTCAGATATTTTATGTTTTGATTATAATCCATATGTATGTGAGGCACCACGTCAGCTGGGTCTCCAGACATCTATCTGAAAACCTCAGTCCTCACAAATTTTTCACATGTGGAATATATGGTTTTCACTGTAGAGTTTGTGTTTGAGCTTTCCCTTATATTTGTACTTATCAGTACTACAGTGGTAACCACAATAAGACAGTACACTCTACACAAAATTCTTGAGTACAGAAGGCAAATAATGTAAGAATGTACAAAATTCACACTATATACGTCAATGAGTTTAATATGTGAAATGTTGACTGTATTGTATTCAGTGGCAACGCTGATAGTAACCTTAAAGATTTCACTCATGAACTGTGTGATACATCCATGTGTGCAAAAGGAGTCTGTAGAAGAGTTCAGAAATAGAACAGTTTAGGTCTCAGGCTTTGAATGCAATCCTCATTCTCTTCAAAGCCAATTTCTGGTCAAGGCACTTCCTTCATCCCTCTGCATATTTATCTCCTGTTAGCTTCTGTCAGAGTTATGAATATGTCTCAAAGATAAACAGACTGCTTAATTATTAGTTGGTGGTGCATGACAGAATTTTGGGAACGGGGTTGTTAATGTCACAAGAACAGTAAATATGTTCATATCGTGAAGTTTGGAAGTAGGTACCAGTAGCCTTCATTACAATGAAAACATGTACACATTTATTTATTTATTTATTTATTTATTTTGCCAGCAAGCCTATATTCATGAGATAATCATGTTAATTTAGGTCCCTATGAAAGCTAAACGAGTGTTCAAATAGCACTCAGTGCTGTGTCCTCAGCTGTTGTAACAAGAGTCTAAACATTCTAGGAATTGCCAGAACATTTTGCGGTAACCAAGTTTTGACAGTGCTAGTCTCAGGAAATGCACCGAGCACTGAAAAACACATTCAGTAGCACCTGATGTTTCTGAAATACCTGCTATACGTATGAAAAAAAGCTTTGAGGAACATAATTTCTGTAGTTGTTACAGTTTGTGTACTACAGAGTCAGTTCATTTCATAGAGTCATAGAAAGCCTTGGGTTGGAAGGAACCTCGAGGATCATTACATTCCAACCCTCCTGCCACAGGCAGGGTTGCCAACTGCTAGATCAAGTACTAGATCAGGTTGTCCAGGACCTCATCCAGCATGGCCTTGAGTGCCTCCAGGAATGGGGCACCCACAGCTTCTCTGGGCAATGCCTCACCACCCTCTGAGTGAAAAAATTCCCCAACACCTAATCCAAACCTTCCCTCCTTCAGTTTAAATCCGTTCCCCCTTGTGCTATCACTACCTTCCTGTTTACAATCTCCCTTTAAATATTGGAAGGCTGTAATGATGTCTCCCTGCAGCCTTCTCCAGACTTGAAAAATACTTGGACATGAATTAGTGTGCATAAATGTATGAGCCTTAAAAATGCCACACAGCATTTGTAGAAACATTGTTTGTATTTTTACAAGCGTCTATGCTATATGAAGTACATAACTTCAGATTTACGCTAGAATAAAGATTTCTTTAATCTTTCATAATTTACAGCTATTGGTGATAATAAAGTTTTCAGACATTCAGACATTAAACTTTGCATTTGCTTAGAAAGAGTTATTATGAAATTCACATAACATTGAAATGAGGGGAAAAAAGCACATCGGTACACAAACAAACTTCTCATGCTTATGAAACCAACACAGAAGAGGCTACAGACAGCGCTGTTCAGCAAGCTGCTGGCAGACTTCTTTTCCTCTATGCCTAAACAGAATTGTTAAGTATTAAAAGATACACACGCCGTCAAAGCAGAAGCATTTTTCTTCACAAACACAAAAATGTATCAGAATGTCAGGAAGTATATCGACAAATTGATAGCATGAAATGCTGTTCTGCTATGCAGCCAGTAACAGGAATAACCACCTGCATTCTGTCCTGCACTCATTTCTCAATACATGTTGAAGAACTCACAGTAAATGGAACTTCTAATCTGTAAATAAACTTATGATTATCAAAAATAGTAATAATTAAAAAAAACACAAACTCTTTTTGAGGAAATAGACCAGACACTTGCCAGGTTGCTCTGACTTCTTTATAAATTAGAGAAATAACCAAAGTAAACTACTTTCCAACTGCGTCTCGTGGAGACTTTTGTTGTTGTTAATGAAATGATTTGACGTTGCTCTGTAGACTGCACCCAAGATCGCACTCCTCGGGTCATCTACAAAATGATGTCTCGGGATAACCGACCGGACTGATGCAGGATAAACCCTCCATCCTCCCGCCGCGATGAGCGTGCGAGGAGCCTCGCGGAGCAGCGGGGGATCAGGAGAGCTCCGTCGGGGCTCATGGGTCCCGCGGGGCTGTGCTGAGGGCTTCCACCCGCCTCAACCAGCGGTGCCTCCGCATCGCACCGCACCGCGCCGCGCCAAACAGCGCCGCTCCACCGCTCTCGGGACCGCGGAGCGGGGACGGAAAACTTTCCCCGAGGGACGTGCGGAGACCCCCCGCCACCTGCTCCCCCCCCTCGCCCTGCTGCCATTGGCCGAGCCGCCTACCGAAGCCCGCTAGGCACAAAAGGCGTTGCTAAGTGGATCCTTTTTTTTTTTCCCCCTTTTTATTCTCTCTCCCCC